AACTGCTACGGGATTTTGCATTTTTGTCTGAAAATCCGACCGATTCAATTCTTTTCTTCGAAACAAACACATACTCATACTCACCTAACATATAGCAGTGAATTAGAACCATTAAACACAATTTCTACGACGTCCGATTTCCACTCAAATCTCAAACCCTCAATTATTCAAAAATGTCAAAAGTTACGAAATCGCCTGAATTCAATCAAACAAGTTTCAATAGTCACGATCTAACACTCCTCGACTAAACTACGCAATTTATTTCGAATTCTAACCGTGAAAACATCGGTTTCTATCGATTTTACCAATTCGACATAAAATGGAAATATGTGAAAAAACAACCAAAACAATTCAAACAAAACCATACATAATCATACACAATGATAAGATAACAATATTTCACACCGTTATCTGATCAAATCGATTCCTAGAAGTGTTCTTGATGATTTTCCAAACTTTCTCTCTTTTCTTCTTTCTTTCTCTTCTCTTTCTTTCTATTTCTCTTTTCTCTCCTTTTTCTCTCTTATATCTTTCTATTCTATTTCTTTTCTATTACTTTTTCTCTCAAAATATCTAATAATTCATTTTCTTACACAAAATTTCTAACTTAACATTAATTAAGGAAGTATCTAAAATACCCTCCAACCTAATTTCCCCTCCAACTCTCAAAAACGATAAAATAACACAATATGCAAACATAACATATTAACACACCAATTCCACAAAAAAAAAAACCACCCAAATAAAATAAAAGACTCAACAAAAATGGGAAATCAGAATCGAGGCGTTACAACTCTCCCCCACTTTAGAAATTTTCGTCCTCGAAAATATTACCTGATTCAAACAACTCCGGATACGACTCTCGCATCCCACTCTCTAGTTCCCAAGTCATATTGTCTTCCGAAGCGCCTCCCCACGCTACTTTCACAAGCGCAATATCCTTGCCTCTTAGCTTCTTGACTTCACGGTCTAAAATTCTAATCGGTAAAGCTTCAACTGTAAGGTTATCTCTCACTTCAACCTCGTCCATAAGAATAATATGTGATGGATCCGGAACATACTTCCGAAGTTGCGAAATATGGAATAAATCATGCAAATTCGAAAGATTCGGAGGCAACGCCACACGGTAAGCCACAACACCAACTCGTGCAGTAATCTGATACGGACCAATAAAACGAGAAGTCAACTTCTTCGACTTCAAAGCACGACCGACACCCGTAATCAGTGTAACTCTCAAAAACACATGGTCACCTTCTTGAAACTCAAGATCTTTCCTTCTCTTGTCATGATAGCTATTTTGTCTACTTTGAGAAGCTTTCATCTTTTCCCGAATAAACTTCACTTTCTCTGTCGTTTGTTGTACCATCTCCGGTCCAACTATCGATCTCTCACCGGTTTCATGCCAACACAAAGGTGTTTGACATCTCCGACCATACAAAGCCTCAAATGGTGTCATACTTATACTTGAATGAAAACTGTTATTGTGGGTGAACTCAATTAACGCCAAATAACTATCCCAAGCACCACCTTGCTCGAGCACACAAGCACGCAATAAATCCTCCAACGATTGAATTGTCCTCTCGGTTTGACCATCTGTTTGCGGATGATAAGCCGAACTCAATCTTAGCTTAGAACCCAAAGCCTTTTGTAAACTCTCCCAAAACCTCGATGTAAATCTAGGACTCTATCCGATACAATACTCTTAGGAACTCCATGTAACTTCACAACCACAAGAACATAAATCTCGGCTAACTTCTCCAAAGGATAACTAATATCAATTGGAATGAAGTGAGCAGATTTAGTAAGCCTATCCACGATTACCCAAATAGCATCATGACCTATTTGCGTATTCGGCAACCCCGTAACAAAATCCATCGATATACTATCCCATTTCCACTCCGAAATGTCCAACGGTTGCATCAATCCACTAGGCTTTTGATGTTCCACCTTAGACTTTTGACAAGTTAAGCATGCATACACAAATTGAGCTACATCCCTCTTTAATCCGGACCATCAAAAGATTTTCTTCAAATCTTGATACATTTTATTTGCTCCCGGATGAATACATAAGTTACTTCGGTGTCCTTCTTCCAATATTATCTTTTTCAACTCCGCATCATCGGGAATACAAATACGACCACGAAATCTCAAAACTCCGAAGTTATCAACCTTGAAATCCTCATTCTCATTCATCATTAAATCAACGAACTTCAAATCCAACTTTTGCTTTTCACATACGGTTGTAAGAAAATCATTCGTAACATGTAGCATACCAAGTCTCACACTTCTCGGCGTCATTTCACAAACTAAACTCAAGTCTCTAAAATTCTCCAAAAGTTCCCATTCTCTCATCATCAATGCAGACATATGTAACAACTTCCGACTCAAAGCATCGGCCACCATGTTTGCCTTACCCGGATGGTAATTTAAACCAAAATCATAATCCTTCAAAAGCTCTAACCACCTTCTTTGTCTCATGTTCAATTCTTTTTTATCAAATAAATATTTCAAGCTCTTGTGATCACTAAAAACTTCAAATCTTGCACCATAAAGATAGTGCCTCCAAATTTTCAAAACAAACACTACGGCCGCTAACTCCAAGTCATGTATAGGATAATTCTTTTCATGCACTCTCAATTGTCTTGAAGCATAAGCCACAACTTTTCCATCTTGCATCAAAACACCACCTAAACCTGTCAAAGAAGCATCACAATAAACCACAAATGGTTTTGTCGGATTCAGCAAAATCAAGATCGGCGCCGTCGTCAACCTTCTTTTTAGCTCAATGAAACTCTTTTCACAATTAATATCCCAAATGAAAGTCTTTCCTTTACAAGTCAATTGCGTTAACGGAAGTGCCAACTTCGAAAATCCCTCAATAAACCTCCGATAATAACCCGCCAAGCCCAAAAAGCTTCGAATCTCTGTAACCGATCTGGGAGCCTCCCATTGCATCACCGCATCAATCTTGTATGAATCAACACTAACCACTACCGGAAATAACATGTCCAAGAAAACTTACTTCCGACAACCAAAATTCACATTTCGACAACTTAGCATACAATTGTTTCTCTTTCAAAATTTGTAACATAATCCTCAAATGCTCTTCAGGCTCCTCTTGAGACTTAGAGTAAATCAAAATATCGTCGATGAATACAACCATAAAACGATCTAATTGTTCTTGAAAAATACGATTCATGTATTCCATAAACACACCCGGCGCATTAGAAACCCCGAATGGCATCACGGAATATTCGTAATGGCCATACCGTGTCCTAAAGGCCGTCTTTTGAATATCCTCTCCTTTCACACGAATCTAGTGATATCCTGATCTCAAATCAATCTTGCTAAAAACACGCGCACCAACCAATTGGTCCATCAAATCATCGATCCTTGGAAGCGGATACTTGTTCTTAATTGTCACCTTGTTCAATTGTCAATAATCAATGCATAACCGCATACTCCCATCCTTCTTCTTTACCAACAATACCGGAGCACCCCAAGGAGAAACACTTGGCCTTACAAATCTCTTGTCCAACAAGTCATTCAATTGTTTCTTCAATTCTACCAACTCCGATGCCGACATATGATACGGTGCCATCGAAACCAATCTAGTACCCGAAACTAGATCAATAGAAAACTCAACTTCTCTTTCCGGCGGTACATCCGTAATATCCTCCGGAAACACTTCTGGAAAATCACACACCACTGGGAACACATCGAGCTCAACTTTACTCTCCACCGACAATGATACAAATAAACCAAACAATTGAGCTTCGTTTGCTAAAAGTTTCTTCAACTCTTTAGTGGATAGGAAACTCTCATCTTCATCATCTTTTAAAGAAGGAAACCTCACTAACTTATGATAGAAATCTATATGAACTCTATTAAATTGCAACCAGTTCATACCCAAGATTACGTCCAATCCCTCAAACGGCAAACACACTAAATCCATGATGAATTCTTTACCATACATGGTCAAAGGACAACTTACACACACCAAAGATATAGTTACCGACCCCGAAGCGGGAGTCTCAATAACCATGTCACCACCCCAAAAAGTCATGAACAAATTCAAACGCTTAGCGCACTCATGAGAAATAAACAAATGAGTCGCTCCAGTATCAATAATAGGGCCTGTTCGCCGGTATTTAAGGAGAGAAAGGGGGGTGTACCTGCAAGACACTCCAATGCCAAAGTAAGCGTATGAGCAGAGTGATCACAAGTACAGAAAGAGGGTAAAAAGTGAATTATCTGACCCTCTTATGGAAGAGGATATTTATAGAGAGACCCTAGCGCTGGGCCAACGGTCACTCAAAGAAATATTTAGAGAAGAAACTTTACTGAAAGGGAAAAAAACAAAACTAAACACTTATTTATTTAATTTTTTTTTAAAGCTAAATGTTAGTCAAATTCTTCTAGACAATAAAAGAGTTAGAATAAATTTAGTTAAATTCAAAAATATCTCAATATTATTGTAATCGTTTAAATTTTAGTAAAATTTTCTATAGTTAGGAGAGTAAGTGTATGATAGGTAAAATAAACTTTAGAGGAAATAAACTTGACATTTTAATTTGGTAAAAGAACTATGTTCATTGGAGAGTTGTTAAAATTATACATATTTCAGAAAGTATAAATTAAATCACACAATATAGTTACATCATGAGCTAGTGGTTAGTTGATTGATAAAGTTAATGATGTTTAATGGTGTTTTTAGCCACTTTCAGAAATTATTAAAGAATATTTTGTTTCAAATAAAATAAAAAACATCAAAGAATGTGATAAACCATAGAAAACTTTAGAATAAAAAAATAACAAAAATCCAACTTTAATAGTTATAAAAAAGAAACACATCACTTTCCTCGTAAAAGAAAGAAACAAAATTGGCACAACCCAAAAGACACTTGCTCATAGCAACCGCAACAGAAGCAAAGTATTTATATTTATTTACATAATAAAAAATAAAAAAAAGAAAAAGCAAAAGGTATGACTAGATATTATTAATTATCTTCTCCATCGGTTGATTTTGGCTTCTTCACAATCAAAACAGGGCACTTCACATTCTGTGCACAGTGGTTGCTCACACTTCCAAGAAAAGCCCTACACCATTCATCAATATCCAAAACCAAATTAGTTTTACAATTCTCATTCTAACAAAAATAACCATAATTCAGCCATGAACACGCAGTCGGGTTATTATGATTCTATCAAGTTGCAGTCGCACAGAGAATATCTGATTTATAAAAAAAATCACAATTCAAACAGAGATCATTAACATACCTCTTGATGACACCATATCCATGGCTTCCCATCACCAAGATATCAACACCCAATCTCTGAACCGCCTGGCAAATCACGTCCCGAGGGTCACCATTTTCTATCCTCGTCTCCACCTAAACCATATCAATCGTTAATTAATCGGTTAATCATTCAATTAATCAACTAATTAGTTTATTATAAATCATATTTAATTGATTAATATACATTTTGGACGTCGTTACAGACTAACTTGGCTTTCTCCAAAACAGATTCAGCAACTTGTTGGCTATACTTCTCCATGGTTGCCGTTACATCAGATGAGAAAAGATATCCTAAAACACAAATTGATTAATAATTAACCGAGTTTACAACAGATTAATCACGACTAACTATACGAACTAATTACCTGTGCCGTCGAAGGCTGAGTAAACGACACGAGGAGGCTTAACGTAGATGAGAATAAGATGATCTTTCGAATTCTGAAAAATCAGATTCTTCAAACTCCATGTCAGAGCGTAAATGCTCTCATCTCCTTCGTCAATAGCTACCATGATTCTTCTTCCGTTTTCTGTTATTCCAGCCATGAACACTGCTTGAAAGTTCTTCTGCAAACAAATATTCAGTATATATGTGATTGATTTCAGATTATGATCGGTCGAATTAGTGAACAATAATATATACTAGTTTATTTAGTGTTGCTTATATATAAGTACTAGTAACTTTTTTGGCACATAGTATTTCAGAATGGATAATGATTTGTTCATAGAATCAGAATCTATTGGCGGTTTATAGCTTTGGGGTTTCTGGTTTTCGCTATTTCAACACAGTAGGCCTTCGAGATTACCCTTTCAACGTGTTAAATATAATATCTACTTTTTCAATAAACTTTACCTTCCAGATAATTTTTATTTTTTAGAGGGAAAAAATTTATAACTAAAAAGAATATTTAGTTTTAATTATATTTTTTTATTCAAACTGTTGGATTAATATTTTTACAATTTTTAATTAAACAATTATTTAAATATTCATTACAATAAAATAGATCCACTAAAGAATTAATTTCAGTAGTTGCGCGGAGAATATCTAATTTAAAAAAAATATTTATGCTAAAATGGAAATTATTATGAACAGATTTTATTTTAATATTAATTGTCAAAATTAATTGATTATATTTTATGTCAAAAAAGTTATAATTAAATATTATACAATAAATATATAACTAAAAGTAAAAGATAATCAATACAATTTCATTCTTTCAGCCAGCTATTATTAACAAAGAAATAAATCTACTTTGAGATTGACAACCGGTTATAGTAGTATTTGATTTGCCAGCCACCACCACTTGTTTTTAGTTTCTTGAGCTTTCAAATTTATGAAAAAGCTCATAAAATTCTATTTTTAATATATTGTTTTACTTTCGTCTCACAATAAGTGATTCTGTTAATTTTTCATATAGATTAAAAAAATAAAAAAAATAAAAGATAAAGAATGATATTTTTGCTAAAATACGTTTGAAAATGATGAAAGTAATATTAATTAAAGAGTAAAATGGACAAAGTTACATTGAAAATTGAAATGGATAAATATGACACTAAGTAAATATCAATAAATGTGACAAGAAAAATGAAAGTGAATAAATATCAATAAATGTTTAACATAGAAAATGATACACACATTAAAAACTTTTATAAAAGTGTCACATGGACAAGTGTGATAGTCCCAAACATTGTGTCATTTGTCTCCTCCATACACCTCTTCGCGGTGTCGCCATCGACCGCACTAGATATGAGAGCATGAGTGTAGAGGTGCTAGCGACACCTTGTAGGCGACACTTGAACACGACACATCGGGTTACTCGCGGTGTTATACAGTGGTGGTTGTTGCTCAAGTTTGAATTTTGAATTCGAAAATAGACAACATTCGTGAAGTGTGTCATAATGAAGATATGCAATTCTTGAAAAACGTTGTTGTAGGTGAAACAACACAACTTTGGTAAAAACGTTGCTAGAAAGATGTTGTTTCATCAAGGGTCATAACCTTATGAAACAACACAACATGGCCTATGAATAAGTCATTCCGAATTTAGAAATCACATAACAAAACACATATCATCTTCAGAAAAAGTTTAGATTATCTTCCCTACATTCGAATTTTCATCCGTCTTGTGCAAACTCGAATATATGTTAAATTATCCTGGGTATTCTTCCTACATAGCAACTCTAATACATTCGATAGTGCTTGAAATACTATAAGGAAAGTGATTTGTTCACGATTCCAACATGGATCCATTCAATCTAGAATTTTTATCTAACAGTCTTATAATATCTTAAATCATGGCAACCGACACTTCAGTTTCAAGCATTAAAGTGATGAACTAGGACCTTATCAAGTTATGTCGTTTCGATGGAACGAACTTCACTGGTTGGTAAGACAAGATGATGTTTCTATTGACTGTCTTAAAAATTCACCGTGTCTTAGATCCTGATTTGACACTAATTCGAGAGCGAATAAAAGATAACACAGATGAAGTCAAGAAGGAACGGAAGGAAGATGAATTGTTATGTCATAGACATATTCTGAAGGTATTATGTGATTGTCACTAACATCTATACACTGATACTCAATCTGCAATAGATGTAACACCCGAATTTAATTGGAATATTTTAATTAATTTAGTTAATTGAGAATATTTGTATTTTTGGTGTTTTCGGTGGTTTTGGAAATTATTGGGGAATTATTCATATTTGGAGTATTTATTTTGGAATAATAGTATGTAATACGGATTTATTAATATTATTATGAATTAAAATATTTATAAGTGAAATAAGGGTAATTTGGGCATTTGGAGGAGTTAGTAAGGGTAATGAAGGAAAAGACAAATTGGGAGGCCCAAGACTAAGTTGGACAAAATAGAATTCTGAAGAGATTTAGAATTCATTTGTTAACCGTGAAAAGAATGAGGCCAGAGCTCTGATGGAGGGAGAAGTGGAGGCAAAAGCTTCGGAAGATCCCGAAGTTAATCGTGAAAGCTGCGAATCAGTTAAGGTATGGGGAGTATCGCATTTCATGATTTTCTATGTATGTCTTTCGGTGTGTTTACGGTGGGGTTTATGACTTAGGGTATGTTGGGTTGATTTGGGAGAATTAGGGAAATTGATTAATAGACTTTGAGGTTATGATTGATGGCATGTATCCCTGAATATTGACATGAATTTAGGAAACCTTATTGGACTGTTTGATGTGTAACATGAATTTGGAAACCTTAGGCCTTTGTGGCCAAAACCTTGGATTGTGATATGTTTGACTCTGTAGGAATAGGAATATTCAAATGTGAGTAACTCTGATGCACTCAGAGCAATTGGAGGAAAATAGTGTTTTAGGCAGTGCAAATGTTGCCAGAGTAACCTAATAAACCATAGATTTTGTGTTGTTATCATCGTATGACCTTAGGGATGATTTAGGGATGTTTTGGGGGAATGAGATGTATGAATCGGATGAGTTTTGGGGTGGAAATCAGTTCTGGTGCATAGCAGAAGTTGCTGTCATCGCACTGTTCGCCTAGCGAGAAAGCCAACGAAGGTTCGCTACAAGACTCGCCTAGCGAGCAAGCCAGCGAGGATTCGCTAGAGACTCGCCTAGCGAGCGAGCCAGCGAACGTAGCAGAGTTTGCGAATACTGATCGTGTGCAGCGATGCCGTGATGTTTGATTCTGGGATTCCTGAGATGAGTTACTATGAGTATGACAGTGTGGTTGTGTGAGTAATAAGTGATAGTATGAGAATTACCGCGAGTGTAATTATGATGAATTAATATGAGGCAATGTGAGATGATATTAGGGATTAATTTGTGAATACTATGTGATGATATGACGAATTAACATGAGTAGAACTGTGAAGTTTATGTGATTGATAGGCGATAGTGTGAGGATTACCGTGAGTATAACTTTATAAATTAATATGAGATGATATGGGGCTAGTATTATGAATTAATATGGGATAAAATGGGATAATATGGGATAATATGAGTATGAGATAATATGTGATTTATACGTGATTATATGATGACATGATGTGTGAGATTAATTAATATGATGAATTATGATGATATGTGGTATGATGGTTAATATGATGAATTATGATGATATGCTGTATGATGATTAATATGATGAATTATGATGATATGTTGTATGATGAGTAATATGATGAATTATGATGATATGTTGTATGATGAGTAATATGATGAATTATGATGATATGCTGCATGATGATTAATATGATGAGTTATGACGTATGATGAATATGATGAATGATGATGCATCATATGTTGTTATTATGAGGATTATTGTGATGTGTGCATCATGCACTCATGTGCATCCGGACTTTGGTTCAGGACCTCGATTACTTTGTCTTCAATCCCACTCTGTGGATGTGAAGTATTTTTATGTGCTCTAATCCTATTGATGGGGATCTATGGAGGGTTGATGGCCTAGTATCCATCGCGCTGTGATGATTGGTACCACATGGATTGAGTTGTGTCGCATTGCATCTATGAGTCTTGTTGTATGAATTATGACGTTGTGGCCTTTGAGACATATTTGAAGGATATCAATGTGTTGAATATAACTATGAGTAATATGTCGTTTATGCATTAATTGTTATACATTGATTATTATGAATTGTTTTACTCACCCTGCCTGTTTGAATGTTACCTCCACGTGGGTAACGCGCAAATGAGCAAATTTAGCCGTGGACGCCGTCGAGGAGTATTTTAGAGTTTTAGAGTCGTTAGCCTTTATGGTTAATTTAGTGGGTCTTGCTCTGATATGTAACATCGGGTTGGGTTCTTTGAGTTGATTTTATATCATTGGGTTATTTTACTGATGTTCCCTTATGAGGAAAACATTGAGTTATGTTTTGAGTTCCGCTGTTTATGATGTTTTGATGTATTTTGAGAAAACCCGTGTGTTACGTAGCATTGACTTATTTTGTTGACTTTGAGAAATGTACTCCCTTTTGTGGCTTTTTATGAAAGTTAATATTTTACTCTGAAATTCGTGTTATTTTGCCGTAATATCTGTGGGGTAGAATAAGGGTGTTACATTAGTGGTATCAGAGTCTGGTTGGTCCGTCCGGCCAAGTTGTCTGATGTTGTTTGTTCTCTTGTATGCGACATGTGTGTAAAAACACTGTCGGTACACGTTTGTTTTCTAACCTTTGTCTGCAGAAGTGGGAATGAAACCAGTGAGGGAGAAGTTGTGCTTCTCTAGGATGCTGCAAGTATGGAGTTATAGCTCAGTGTGTGGTTGAACGCTCTTATAGTTTGGTAAAGATGGTTTATACCCCATCATGATTTTCGGCTGTCTATTGACAAATTGAGGAACTGATCACCCTTAATCTCTTGTTGATAGTAGATGGGGTCATATTGGAGGGGATAAGCGTGTCTTGCAAGCTTAGATAGTGTGAGCAGTGAATTGTCTTGAGTTAACCTAAGTGCTTAAGAATTGTTTTAATGAGTTGGCGCAGGACAGTGTTTAGATGTTTACTTTTGATGGGAATTTTAAGTGTTAATGAAAGTGGGGAAGTTG